ACTTGTGCTGCTTGGCACGTTTGTTGTATATAGAAGTATTTTTTTGTTTAAGTATTGCGCAGGTTTTTCTCTTTTGGTCAGCGGATCCGCTACCGTTCCCCTCGGCACTATCAAAACCTACTTCGCCCCTCGGGGTGCTGTTGTTGACTTTCTGTGCTGTTTGGTTTGCGGGAGCACCGGGAGGAACTGGACCTCATCCATTCGTGTTGTTGGAGGCACTTGACAATGCTTGCCTCAACTCCGTCATGACCTGGTCCTGTCATGAGAGGTGGCACATAATAGTTTTTTGCTGCTCCCTCAAGATCCTTACTGTTTCAATGAGTGCTCGTCTTCAGCATTAGCAGGATGTTCTTCTCGAACATGTCGTGGATATTTCCCGCAATGGACCTGTGTGGCCTCATCCCCCTCGTTGCGGGTATCACTAATCGAATCTTCGTGCTGAGGCTGATTTCCTTAGGCCTCAACGTTGTGTGAAATATTGACATCATTATCTGCCATTTTCTATGATTTTTTCTAAGAACAAAGAATCAAACAGGTTAGTAATAGATGCAAGGATCAACTAAATTACACAATTGTCTAGGCTCAACGGTGGGTGCCAAATTATTTACCCATAAAATGGTACAGTTGAATTTATACGTGATTTATAGATAAGTGAATCGATTTGATCCCGAAATAATGAATAAATTAAATAAGAATGTAAGACTTAGCGTAAAAAACGAGATTAGACAGTAGGAATATTTTCTCTTGGAGCAGAGCTTCCGAAGGCAGTAGTAACGATCTTAATAGGCAAGAAGATAAAATATTATTGAGCTTTGAATAGTATGTAGCATAAACTTGTCAGAAAATTCATCCCTCTATAATGGTTGTTGAGCTCACTATTAATGGTTGCTCCTAGGGAACAAGGTCCTAGGATCAAGTGTCACGCCCCGACTTTGGGGAGCGCAACCGGCACCCCAGTCAAGCAAGCCTACTCGATGCCTTCTACTCGGCCTCACCCATAAATAATGTGAAGATATTCCATTAATCAGACAATGAGAAGATTATATGAACAACACCAATTTCATTACCATTAGTAACTTCATTCACGATTTTCTAAAATATAGTACACATTCGTGGTTTTAGAAGTTAAAACACGAGTTACAAGTACAACACTTCAAGTTTGACTTACCCAAATCAAAATACAACCCACACTATCTCTACGTAGCCTCTAGTTAATACAAGGAGTGATATGATAGTGCCGACGACAAGGCCCTGGCTATACCTCAAGACAATGTACACATGAAGCAAAAGACGCACGACCCCGATATGAAGTGGGTCTCACCAAGTCAGCTGAGAAGGGGGTGTATTGCTATTACTGATCGATGCCGCCTGTTGTGGAACCACATGCATCCATTAAAGATGCAGCATCCCTGGCAAAAGGGACGTTAGTATGTGTGAAATAGTACTAGCATGTAGAGCAGACAAAACAATATAAAAATAGGGTATCTCATAGAGAGGTAAATGAAACACATCAAGAAGCTGTGAAACAAACTATATGATCGTAAGCAAGTAACCCACATAAGCCATGATATGGGATACAACCCGTATAACATAAATGTACACTATGTACCAACCAAGGACAATGAAAATGGCAGCTGTTGTTCATGCTGGCTATGCGTCTCACTAGAGCGTCCACACCTATCTCTTACTACGCACCTATGCGTCTCACAGGCCGTCCATAAGATTCATCGATACTATACACCTATGCGTTTCATAGATCGTTCATAGGGATCACCTATACAATACACATATGCATTTCATAGACCGTCCATATGATTTATCTATACTATACACATATGCGTTTCATAGACCGTCCATATGATTTATCTATACTAACCTATGCGTTTCATAGACCGTCCATAGGGATCACATATACTATACACCTATGCGTTTCATAGACTGTCCATAGGATTCATCAATACTCTACAACTATGCGTTTCATAGATCGTCCATAGGATTCATAGCGCATCATTATGCACATGGCCATAATAAACTCAAAGCGACATGACTAACATTGCTTTTAAGGTTGTAAGTTCCGGATCATTGATATACTTTATGTTCATGCTCATCATGGAGAACTACAGCATATTGCATTAGCACATGTATGGTGGATCAATAAGTAGATTGCTTCGGGACTTAACATCAAAGTCCTTTGCATTTATTATTTTAGAAGCACACACACTATGATTGAAACCATTGGAACATACAATGCCTCAAAATTCTCATTTTTTTGGCAAGCTGCCACATTTCATGGTCATGCTATCACTCCCGTTTACTTGCCATGGGTGAGCATAGAACATTAAGGACATTTAAAACATTTAGGAACACCATAGCCTCTACACATGAGGACATAAGAGCTTATGACACATTGGAAACATTTACAAGGAAGCTATACCCATTTCCTTTGAAACATAAATTGGAGTCATAGACATTCGTTACATCAACCTCATGAGAAGTGCATTTGTAAGAGATAATAAGGATAGACATTGAGACAAGACTTGAGCATATCAGCATATGATCAATCATGTGTTTGAGGCAATCTAACACGATAAGAATTGGCACTTTGGGCAATCGTACTTGGAGTTTACAGTGAGATCATAGAATCCGATTCTATAAAGGGAATTTAGCTAACATTCCTTGCTTGAGCTTCCTTTAGATTGCCACAATGTCCCAATACTTCTAGAAATTCCAATCAACTAATGATATGACAAAATTGAACAATAATTAGGAAGAAATTCATGATTTCAGCTCATTAAGACATTTTATCAAGCACCTAGAGCGCATAACATTCTATTGCCTCTAGTAATGGTGTTTCTTCATCCAATAATCCCTCCTCCCCTCCAACAAGAGATACTACAACATCCTTTATCCATTAATTGCCTTCTTTAGCATCATTATAATCATCAATGGACTCATATCCACCAAATTTTATTAATTAACTTATAAAAAAATCTCTACAACACCCAAAGATCTAGGTTAAACACTTATGGCTTTCAGTCACCATCACATAAGCTCTAGTATTTATTTCTTGCTCATATATTCACTAACAATCTATGCATGTAGGTTTAAGAGTGAAATATTACCTCTTGCAGACCAAATCTTGAAAGACAACTTTTGGGGCGGTCTTGAGATTTTGAAGTTATGGGATCCAATAAAAAACCTTGTTGTAACTAGTGATTGAGAAGTACAACCATCATAAAAACACACTTAAAAACTAACCTTAAGTGTATATTGGAAGCCTTGACCGGATGGGTGATGGAAAGAAAGCCCTAGTCTTGAAACCCTTTTATTTTTTCTCTCTCCCCGCTCAGGTATTAAAAGGTCCAAGTATAGTCTTTCCACTGGTGCTATAGTTGTACTATAAGGCTTTAGCTCATTGATTTGCTAAAATTTCTGCTTCCCTCTTGTGTTGTAGTTGCGCTATTGGGAGATAGTTCACTGCATTTTCTTTAGTTTTATTGCTTTGAAATTAACATCCAAGTATTCCTCATTATTACAACACTCAAAGATTAATAAAATAATTATCCTCAAGTATCTAAATAACTTTATCCACTCCAGTAATTTCTCTTGTGGTTCGGGTCTAAATTAAATTGTATTCCTAAGCTCGAAATTGCTCGAATTAGCTATAGAACTTCACGGGGCCTTACACATTAGCCAACCTCGGCACCATATATAAACCTTGATTTCTTGGTAATTTTTTTACAGGGCCTTACATCAAGCCCCTCTTAAATGAGAATTATGGGGGCCATTGAAGAATATGTAACGGTAGGCAATGAATGTCATATTCTCTGTAACGGACGTACTTAATGCTATAGAATATTCTCCATTAAATGCTATGGGTGGCAGGCATTTATTTTGTCTTTATGAACAACATTCCCTTCGGGGACAAACGAGATTGCTGCCCTTGGACTTGATGCCATTTGCGTCGCTTTCCATCTGCCTTCGGCTCCACGTATCGCTTTATTATGCGATCATTTAATATGAACATATTTTACCTTATACAACTATATTTGCGTTAGTTTGACTAGCGTGAAAATTAATAATGTAAAGAAGAATTATGAATTAATCTTGTAGTCTTAATTAAAATATGTACGAGATATAAAATATACCCTTTGAATCTCATAGTTTTATTAAACATACCATATCATACGTATAAGGGATTATCATTAAGTAAAATAAAAATATTTAAATAAAACACTTACCAAATATAATAAGTGACATTCGTTCTAAAACATACTAAAATAAAAAAAGTAAAATAAACAAATTGAAATAGAGGAAGTAATATTTTTCGATTCGAGCATTGGACTTTCTCATGCAGGTTGCAACTACAACTCTTGTTGGAAGCATGACAACTTTAACAATTTTATACGAATAAACTTTTTTGAGTGGCTAAAATCAAGAAATTAGAAACAATAATTTTTTTTTTTACTTTGTAAGTGTGGTTTGGTTTAAATATTTTGTACACATGATTAAGTTGATTTAAGTTTAATAAGTAAAATCCAAGACAAGACAAAATAATAATAATAATAATAATAATAATAATAATAATAATAATAATAATAATAATATTATTATTATTATTATTATTATAATATTATTATTATTATCCAAGACAAGGTGAACCAGGATCATCTCTAATTTTTTTTTAAATACTTTTCATGCATACATTTAAACACTCTCTTATGGCTTATAAATCTTTTAATAATAACATAATAATTTAATGATACTTCAAAAATCAAATGGCCAGAGGGAGAGAGAGGCATTTAGAGCACAACATAATTTTAACTTTTTTTTCAATTTAAATCGTAAATTAAAGTATGATACTTTTTCGCTGATAATAGGATTCATAGGTAAACATAATAAATATTGAATGTTGAAAAAAACAAAATAAAAAAAAACAAAAGAAATTTCAAGTTAGTTACATCGTACGTACTATATGCATATTGCATCTGTAGACAGTGAGGTCACGGTGTCAGCGAGTCGACATTAGCCGTATACGATTGCGTATTCTTCAATTTATTACCATAGAGGACCACAAACTTCAAAAAGCTTTAGTTCGCAGAAAAAAACAAGCCCCCCCCCGGGCCCTCGCCACTCACAATCTCACCACCTCTTCTTCCTCCTTGTATTACTCCATACGCCTGACACAACAATACGGTGGGAATAAGGCGAATTCGTGTCTATTCCAATGATTGACAATTCATTTCCGTACATTATTGTTGATTTTGGAACAATTGATTGATGATAGATGTGAATTTATAGGAAAATTTTTGTTGTCATTTCAAAATTGAGGGTTCTGAAATCCTCTAATGGACTCGATTTGGGTAAATGATGTTGCCCCTGGCGTTCCGGATTTGATGTATGCGATTTACTTCATATTTGCTTTCTTCGCCGCCAGGTTCTTCCTTGACAGAGTCATCTTTCGCGTAAGCTTCCTCATTTGATTAAGCTTTTAACCTTATTTTATGTTTGTTAAAACTCGTTGCGTGGATTTTTTTATTTGTAAGCAATATAGAAATAAGTTAATTTGTTATGACATAGTTATTGTTTTTGTATCCAAAGTAATTGTGTTATATAACTATGAAATCGGCCGTAAAAGTTACAGGATGTGATTGTCGTATTACTTTGGAATATTAGCTGCTTCATCGTGATTGGACTTGAGTAATGACGGCAATTGAAAATATTACACTCAAAACCATGGGTTAAAATAATTAATTTGTTAAATACAAATATATATGAGCTGCTAAAAAGGTAAGCTGAGGGTGGTATAACGGTAAAAATAATGTTTTGTACGAAAAATATTTCATTAGAAAATCATTTTTCATTAATCAGGTAAATAAGTTTTAATTAATGATAAGGCCAAAAACAAAAACGGCCATATAAAAGAGGTATACTAAAAAGGTAGAAAACATACGAAAAGATCTGCAAAAGACACCCCAAGGAACTACAAAGACATCCAATCTTCTACTTGGGAAACCCATTTTCTAGATGATTTTTCGGTGTTTGGTTGGGTGTAAAGATTGGTGACTTATATCTATCTTAAAAGGTGATGTATGGGAATAATATGGTGATATTTCTTAGTATTAAAGGTTGACAACAATGTACAAGTAATTGTTGAAGCAAGTGATATAAAATAAGACATGGGATGTTTGCAAAAACAAAAAAAAAAATGATTTCTGCCAAAGGTAATGTAGTAGTTGTTTTTTTCCTTTGGTAAAAATATTTTTTTGCATAGGAAAATGGGTTCTGCCACGAAGTGATAAGAGTAGAAGAGTGATAGGAGTTATTTTCTCCTCGCAATGGAGAACACTTTTTGGTGGAAAAAATCATCTTCGTCAAACATTAGAAAATGATTTTATCAAGAAAATATTTTCCGGTAAAACAATAGACATATACCAAACGCACCAGATCTCTTAAAGCAAATGCATGGTAAAGAAGACAGAGGCGGAGCGAGCATTTCAACTTTATGGGTTCTAAATTTTAGGATGACGATTTTAAGAGCTACTAACTGGGTTTTCAATTTAATATTTATACATATTTAGTGAATTTCTTAACATAAATAGCTAAAATTATTGGGTTTGGCCGAACCCGCACTTAGGCTTCTACCTCCACCCCTGAAAGAAGAAGTATCTTTAAGGAGTCAAATCTGCTGAATTTTGTGACCACCTTATCTAAATTTAAATTGTTAGAGAGCACACATTTTATATAGTATTTAGTTATTCCTTCAACTCACTCCTACGTCCGATTCTTTTTATTGGCAAGAGCACGTGGACATTTTTTTGTTGATAATAGGTGGTAGTGTGTTTGAATCCAAGACTTCTACGTACTCTAATTCCATGTTAAGAAAATGGACCTTTGACCTTACTAAATCTCAAATCGTAACTCATGAGGTGATGATAGTACAAGACCATATAAAAAGATTACATGCCATACTCTTGATCAATGTGGGAATCTAACACCCTTCGCATGCCTAGGGTTGAGATCTGGAGCATAGATAACATAACATGAGAGCCCAACATCAGGGTAAAGCTCTTGGTTAACCAATAGAAAAGTTAACTCGAGTACCATGTTAAGTAATTAACTTTGGTTAGCCGATAAAACAGTTAACCTTTTAACATTTAATTTTAGCTAACTTCAACAATTATTAATGGTTGGATGTACTCAATCAATCAACTATGCCTGGATACGAAATTATTTGGGATTTACTGTATGAATCCTTTGTACCCATTCTGCTCTATTCTGTAGTTAGTTGATCGTGAAGTGTATTATGTATTCAGTAGACAAAAAGATCATCAGAGTTTGGCTATTTTAAACCTGGTTGTCAGTCTGTAGTGATCTTCCTCCTTTATCCATACATATGATTGACTATGCTTTAGGAAACTTACATAAGAGGATTTTAGAGTCGGACTTTAGTTAGATGTAAAACCTTAAGCCGTTTACTCTTCAAACTTCAAAGTAATGAATGATTTGAAATTTAAAGTTGTTTACTTATAGGTCCAAGGGAAGAGTTCTGCATTGTCCACTGACTCCGTTCTTCATTTATTGGAAGTTGACCTAACTAATATTGTCAACAGTCAATTTAAGCAAGAGTTTTTCTCTGTCATTTCTTTGTTTTCACATAGTATTAGAACCTCAATGTGATGTGAAAGAACTAAGCATTTTTGCCGGAACAGAAGTGTCCTTATGCTGCTTGACTGGCTAAAGTTCTTTTTTCGTATTACTATCATTATCCATTTCCAATAACCGTTTCAGCGGTACCACGTCCTTTTTGGTGATCGTGCCGCTGATGTCATGAGTAGCTGAACTGTCAGTTCACATTTGTCGATGGTATTCAATACTTCACATTAGTTGACTTGTCAAGTCAGCACGCACAACTAACAAAGTAATGGCCTATAAATTAACTTTATGTCTGTTGACTAGTCAAGCCAATCGAGCCGTAGCTGCCTACATCACACTCCATTGTGTCGGCTCTTCCTTGAACCATGCGTGAACACGGGATGCTTCGTGCTCCGGACTGCCCTTTTTTTTTTTTTGACCTGTCAAGCCAATAGTCCATTTATATCTAATCAACGTAAAGTTAGTTGACAAATTAGGATTCCTTTGGCGACATGTCACTGTCTAATTCTCGGTTAGAAATGCCAAATTGACGTTCAATAACGCATCAGTATTTAGTCATTGTCATTTTAACATTCCGCAGTCCGAAATTTAGACATGTACAGTCGCCTCCATATTGTCCAGTCAGCATCCAGTTGACCAACACAGAAATGTCATCTCCAAGCAACATGTCATTATCGAACTAGCACGTCGTTCAATGACACAAGTGTACAGACTACACCAAGTTACTATTCAATGAGCAGCCACAGCACTGTCCAGTCAGCTACTATGTTCCTGTTTTGCAAATTGGAATTGTTTCACTACCTTGGGTTTGAGAGAGCATGTTAAAAATCAAGAAAATTAATGGAGTTTCATCTTAAAATGTGTTTACAGTTACAACATGTCTGGATTTATTGAATTGAGTAAAAGATTATAATGTAGAATACTAGAATTCATAAGCTATTTTAGAATATTCTGTACTTTATTGTAGGAGAATAATTACTCACCTAATTGTGAATAGGAAAGTTATGTACTTTATTGTGCATGGACTAAGAATCATATATAAGTAGCCCATTTGTATTTGTCAACAGCCAATTTGACAAGAGCTATCCTCCTTTTCATTCTTTTCAATGATACAATTGAAATGAAAGCAAAATTATATCAAGAATACAACGAATATCGGTTTCTAATGGTGCATTGATTTCAGAATGCATCACTAACTAAAACATATGGTTTCCTCCTCCCGTTGCTTATAGAAACCTGAGAATTATCCCCTCCTCACTTACTGCACTACGTTATATATGTAACTTTTGAGATATGATTTTTAGTTCAATATTTGTTGCATCTTGAGAGAGTAAGTAGAGTGCCTTCAGTTAGGGCCAGTCTGAATCAGTGTACGGGTTAACATTTATCATCCTTATGCTCTTACAATTTCATGATTTAAAGGTTTATGCAGCATGAATTGGGGTCTTAAGTCTTAACTGTCAAACTAGTATTGGTTTTGACACTCCTTTACATGAAAGATGATTTCAGCTGCTTGAAAGTAGTGTAGGAGATTATATGATGGGAAAGTGAAAGGAGACTATTGAAAAATTATCTTGGACACTGTTACAGAACTAGTAGCTATGTGACTGACAGATCCGATTAACTTCTTTCCCTGTAATCTAATACATCCATGTTTCTTATGCATTCTTCTTGTTCAACAGAGGCTAGCCATTTTGTTGCTGCGATTGGGAACCACCCACTTGAAAATTGATGAGCCTACAAGCGCAAAAATTATTAAATGCTCTGAATCCATGTGGAAGCTTGCATATTATGGCACTATTGAGTTTTGTGTCCTAAAAGTTGCCTATCACGAGCCATGGTTCCTAGACATTAAGGAGTATTTCAGGGGCTGGCCAAATCAAGAGCTACAGTGAGTATTGCGTCCCCTTTGTATTATGACCAAGTATCTGATGAATGGCACTCGACATCTAATCTTTGTGTTAAAAGTGAAAGTAGATAGTTATTTTTAGTGAATGACTACAAAAGAAAGTCCCTAAGATTTGGTATTATTATTTTCCATTTTGACTTAGGAACTTCTAACTTTTAGTCTCAAATTTCCTTGTCTTGCAGCTCTTCCCTGAATTTCAGAAGGGGTCTTTTCATCTGTATTACTTCTAGGAAATATCTAAAATTAACAGTTAATGGTCCAATTCAAAATAGTTCAGGAAGTCACAGAATTGCGTTGCTAATTCTCTAAAACTTGGATCGAAAAACCGTAAGTATTTTGATTCTTATTAAGTTCCCACCTGGGACTCATATTAGGAGTTTGTATTTCAAAAAATTTGCAGCACCTTAGGAAAAAGCTCTGATTTCTTTTTGTAGAAGAAAAAAGGGAAAGAAAATCTTCTTTTGCTTGCTTATTCGCTGAAATCTCTTGTCAAGAAGCCCCATGATCCTCTTACATGTTTGTTACTGTGATCTGCTGATATGCGGACAGGAGTGGCACTGGTTGTTGCTTTTTAATTGGGTTAATCACAGTGCTATAACCTGGACCTACAGTTTTTTCAGTAACTGGGCTGATTTCTTGAAAGTTCAAGCGGGATGATTAGGACATGGTGATCTATGAAATGAAATACTTTTGTCTTGCCAAACACATGGAAATATTTTTGGGTGGCGGTGAGATTTGAACCCAAGACTTCTGCCTTTCTGGTACCATGTGAGAAATAAAGAACACGAGAAAGCATATTGAGAGAAAGCTTAGCTTGATTATACCCCCTAGCTTTGTGGCGTTTAAATAGTGATGTACACCTATCCTAAAGTAGAAAAGAACATGAAGGTTACAAAATTACATTTCTATAAATATTTTTGTTAATGTCAAAATATTCTTAAGACTCCTCATCAAGTTGATGCACCACAAATCGTATGTCCCGAGCTTGTTACACATTGTCACTAATCTGGGGACCGGCACGAAACTTGGTGAATATATTTTCTAGTTGATCAAATTTTACGGACTTCTAATGTCTATTGAGAGTATCTTTTCTATGCAAAGTGACAATCAATTCTATGTACTTGGTCCTTGCATGAAACCCCAGATTTGATGCAATATGAAGTGTTCTTTGACTATCATACACAAGTTTCATTACAACCTATCTCTTCAAACTTCATTTCTCTAAATAGTTGCTTGATCCATACAAGCTCACAATTTGCCACAGTCATGGCTCGGTATTTTGCTTTCGCAATAGATACTAGACCTAGCAACCATATTTTTCTTCTTGCTCTTTCGAGACACCAAGTTACCTCAAACCCGAACACAATATACAAAGGGGGAGCGTGTATTCAAAAGTGATCCTACCCAATATGATTATGGCCTCTATCCCCATGGAGCAACCCTTTACATGGAGCAGATTTTATGTAATGAAGGCATAATGGGTTACCACGTGGAGAGTCCAAAAATTGAATTACAATGCTCACCAAAAAGGCAATATCAAGTAATTCAATTCCAACAAGCTGCCTATATTCCAGGATCACTAAGAAGCTCTCGTTGACCTAGTAGAAGCAGGTGATATCGGCACTATTTAAAAGCATTCTTGATGTCTAACTAACTAATGAAGAGGCAAATGGCAATAGTGGGCATTAATAGGAAATGACGAATATATGCTATTTTAGTCGGTGGAGAGAAAGTATTACGGTAATCAATACAAATATTAAAGTATAGCCTTTAGCAACAAAACAAGGTTAAAACGATCAACTTGATCATCTGTACCAACCTTGACTGTATATACCCATAAATCTTTGCCTGTTGCGAGCATGATCATAACATGTTGCCTGGATAAGAAGGTGCTTAGTCTTAGGAACAAAAATAGAGGACAAAGATGACGCAAAAGTATAATGATGTGATATTAATCGACGATAACTCAATAATATACATGGGATTAGGATTGGCGAGTACCTTTCTGGATGGCCGTTGGTGGACTATGTCCACGAGGCAGGTCCATAGTAGGCGAAGGATTTGGTGCAGGGCGTGAATCAAGACTATATGTTGGGAGACTATTCGGCAATAAATAAAGAATCCGGTATAGGGCGTGAATTATCTAGACTTGACGTTCTGGCGATAATGATAAGTAATGAGTGGTGGTGTCGTGGGAGAAGATGGAGGATGAGGACTTATAGGATCTCCCAGTAAAACCACATAGACGTCAAGATGGTTAGAAGAAGTAAAAGGTGTGAAATAAAGTTGAGGTGCAAGGAAGGTGACATTAGCTGACAAAAGTATTGACGAAGGTCGGATGAGTAGCAAAAGCTTTTTGAACTCGAAAATAATTGTGAACAGTATACACTTGAGAGCATAAGGGGTTAATTTATTTCTTCCAGGGGTTAGATTCCGAACAAAACAAGTTCTTCCAAAGGAAGAGAATACAAAAATGAACATATGAATAAGATAGTGTGTGGAACTTGATCCGGAATAACTGAGGAAGACATGCGATTAATCAAATAATATGTGGTGTGAACCGCATTATCCCAAAAACGCAATGAAACATGTAATAATCATATATGTATGGTGTGAGTGGTCTGAATGAGATGTCTATTCTTCCTCTCGCTCTATTTTATTGAGAGGTATGAGAACTAGATGTTCGATGAACAATCAAACTAGAGTTTATAGACTGTTGAAAGTGAGAGGATAAATATTCTGGTGTATTGTCATTAAGAAAAGTGCGAATAGAAATCTCAAATTGAGCAGAAAAAGTTTGAAAAGTAGAAAACAACATAAAATGATCCTTCATTAGAATCTACGTATACCTTGAGTAATTGTCAATGAAACTAACGAAGTAACGTAACTCCAAAGTAGAGCTAACTCAACCAGGACCTTAGACATATGAATGGACCAAAGAGAAAGGAGATTCTTCAGGAATTTCCAAATTGTCTATGAAGTAACCCAAGTAAGTCGGTAACATGAGAAGCTGTGGTGATCTTGGAAGGTTGAGCCGTTGAGGTAGTAAAGTCCATGTGATTCACGTCTGACATCTATTAGCCGTTGCATGCTGTGATCCTGTATGATAACACAGTTATCGAGAGAGGTAAATGAACAATTAAGTGACTGAGGAAAAAGACTAACATATATTAGATTGAAGGAACAACCAAGGATATGGACTGAATTTAAGTTAAAGAGAGCAGTAATATAGCTTGACCTACTCTAGTTGCCATGGTTTTGGTTCCATCGCGCAATGTAATAGTTGGAAGAGATTGAGAATATGAAATAGAAGAGAAAAGAGATTTGTTGCCAGAAATATGATTTGAGGCTCTTGGGTTAGAGCACAGGGGAAACATAAGCTACAAAATTACTAGTTTGAACAACGGATGCAACATGCGAAGATGCTTGATTACGTGTATCTTTGTTCTTAAGAAGCTGATTTTAATCGGATAAGGAAGTCATCTGATCGTTTGAATTACCTGAATCCATTTTGTATAACTAATATTTTTAAATCCCAATGCATAATTGGACAAGTAGCCGCAATTTATGAAAATAGCCTTCCAAAGAAGGTCAATACTCAATAGTATCACCATAATATTTTGGAATATTCTGATTGACAGAAATGACATATGTGAATATTGTGATCGCTGAAAAACTATCGGAATGTCAGAGAAACAGTGGTGGCTCTTTCTGCTTGAATCAACTCCCAGAACCCCGAAAATATGTGTAAGAGTGTCTGGAAAGCAGTAACAAGAAAAGTTCTGCACAAAAATCTGACAGGCGGCCTCCGATGATGGTTGGAATGTCGGGAAAGTTCGATGGGTTGATTTAAAATGGAGAGGTGGCCCACAGGTGATACGATCTCGCCAGAAGGTTGCGGGGAAACTCCCCATGCACTGGCGCGTGATATAAACTTGCTGAGAATTCTGGGGTTTTCTGGGGTTTGGTCGCCAGAGAGTTCTGATCCTCCTGGTAGTGCTTGTTGATGCACAACACTCACGGATAGCTACAATAACTTTGATAGAACTCCTTCTCACCAGAAAAGTTGCATGGTGACAAGATTTCTCTCCCGCATGTCACAAATATATGCACATGTCCATCTACTCAGAACTCTTTGTTCATTGTCAATGCTTTATTACTGAATTCTCAATTCATGTCCTGTTTAGTACTTGAAGATTCCATTTGCAAGCATCCAATTGCTCCAGTTATTTATATAATAAGAAAGAGCACAAAAGTAAAAAGTTCCTTACCTGCAACCATCCAAAAGACCAAGGGAAAAAGAGTTGTGTCTAATCCTTACAAAATGAAGAAACAGAAATAGTTACCCCTACTTTTGTTCTCATAGAAAACCATATGCCTCCATTATTCTTCAACAAGGCTCTTTCTTTCTATAGCCCTTGGTCCGGGACTGGCAATTTTGCAAATCTCTCCTTTTCATGAAAATCGATTCTTTTCCTCTTGTTATCTTGGCACTTACCTCTTCATCTCCTTCAACTCTTCTCTCTTATTTTTATTCATTTCTTATTTGTTTTGGTTAAACATTTTTCCCCCAAGTGACACTTAAAGCACCATCTTTTTCTTTCACCTTTTGCAATCAACATATACATGAGAAAATTTCACTGGATAGTTGTAACTGCAGACCTGCTCCATTCCTTAGCTATCTCCTTGTGTCTTTCCTTCTTATTGTAAGCCATATTAAGTCACCTCTATTCAGTATCTTTCTGCAAGTGTCATCGTGTTAGCAGCTGTCTGACTCTGTCTGTTATGTAGATGTATCTTCTTCTGCCATGTGAATATAGAAACCATCCTGGTTCTTCCAAAGAGTTTGATAGTCTAACATAGTTTATGTGTTTTCTTATTGACATTGTAGGGTTGGAATAAAATTTATCTATATGTGCCAATGTGGGTTCTACCTCTATAGCATTGCTGCCCTCCTCGTTTGGGAAACACGAAGGAAAGACTTCTCTGTGATGATGTCTCATCACATAGTCACAGTTATTCTGATATCATACTCGTACATTTCAAGGTAACCTTACTTCATTAGAGGTTTGTACCTTTTTATCACTTTTTTCTTTTCTGTTTTGGGATTTATAGATACTTACCTTGACATAATATGATGAGATTTTGTATAGTATGAAGTGACCGTTTTAGAAGTTCCCTATATCTATATTGGATGAAATACATATAGGAAGTGGGAATGTGTTTAGGTCTGAGTTATTTGTTATCATGTTAGTCAACCACTGACCACGGGGTTGTTTGGACATGTTTCAAGAAATTGTGTGTCTGCTTTTGTTTTCTTTCGAAGGTGGCGTTAGAGTGCAAGGTGAAAGTTGATTTGATACTTTGAGTAACTAGGTTTAAATAGAGAATGTAGAATGAAACAAAAAGATTGAACATCTAATGAACAATCATATATCTGAATATTGGCAGTATGTTTTTGTGCATACTCATATGAATAACATTAATCATATCTATGTTAACAATTAAAGAAATAATATTAATCATTTGTAATTGGACATGATCATTTATATATATATACAACTAATAACTTTATCAAGAAAATATAATAAACAACTAATAAGGTACAAAGCAGTTCTCCATTTATTTGTAAAGGCAATATCAGAGGAATGCAATTGCAATATATTGCCAATGCTATGAATAAGATGCTTTATTCTAATATTTGGTACAATTTGTTTTTGTTTTTTTTTCCTGAGATTTCCTGGCAGATGAGCATTGATCAAATTGACCCTACTCTCTTTCAATTATTGACGCTTCATCACTTTGTCATGGAAATTTGTTAGACAGTGTAAGCGTACGCGAGGCAAAGTTGACATGACGAGTAGCGTGAGCTTTGCCCCTATTCAAGGAGGGTTAAAGAGAGAGAATTAAAAAGTTGTCTTACCTTTCCAATTTTGGTCAAATCTCTAATGCAAGTGACATACAGTTAGTACTACTATGGCTTCTCTATACCCGTTTCCTTTACCTAAAAAATGTTCTTAAGTCAAATTTAAATTCGTGGTCGGATTATCAGATAATGATTAGTCTTTGGGGTTCAATTTTAATTCATCTACCATAGTGAAGAAATGTGTCAAATTTCAAAAGTCAATTATCCTCTCCTTGCACTTAATCTGTTGATTTCACGAAACTGAGCAAATTATAAATATAACTTTGCTTTATACTGGGCCACACCCCCTCCCTCTGTCCTGGTTCCTTTTCTGATTATATATTTTCTTAACATGTGATAATCTCTTTCATGACTTTATCTAACTGATTATCTTCTATGGTATCTATTAAGACTTTGTTTGAGGTTCATCAACTTTAGGTTTTAGGATCAAAATTATCTTATCATTCTTATAGATTAGCAAATTCTCTTTGCTGAAAACTTGATCTTTTGAAGGAGGCTGACTCCTGAAGAATGTTTGTGACAAGCAGAGTAGGGCAGAAAATAAACATGTTTGGACAAATAACTTTTGCTTTAAGTTTAATTTTATTCGTTAGCCATGGATATGGCTAAGCATCCTTAAGAAAAAAATTAATTATGGTGCTTTTGTTGTATATAATCACTGAGATTTTCCATCTTCAAAAACATTCTGTTCTTGAGAGAGAAGTATCCAGAAAAGTTAAGGCTATAAATAGCTGGTACCACAGTATTATGAACACAGTTTTATTGCTTGTTTGCTTTCCTTTTGCATTACATGTCTGGTACATAATCAAAATAAATAAAGGTGCACAACGAAAGGAACCGTCCAAGCTAGAGCATATTGTCAACCTATAAGTTGTTGTCATGAGTTAACTGTCTGGTTTAACTGTCCAAGAGCACAGGAGTTTAATTATTATTCCTCTCGAACGTTACGTAAGTTTTTGAAACAACAATATTTGAATTTGCCAGGAAATGCAATGTCATTCTTAGCAGATCTTCAACCTGAGGCGCTCAAATCTTATTTATCAGATTTTGTTGGGTGGACCTAAGAAAAAAAAAAAACTTAGGTTACTCTCGTTGTATTTAATCTATGTCCTGTTTGAGATTCTTGTTGGGCTGGTAGTGAAATTGAATGAACGCCTTTGGATTTGGAGATAGTTAACATTTTATAGCATTTTGATTATATAAACAACTCTGACTACTTTTATGTTTGAGGTCGTCTGGTTATTGTGTACAAGTCAATCGTACTAAGTTAAGGTGTCATGGAATTTTTTTAAAGCCAATTGGTCTTCACCAATTCTGTTGATAGAATGCCTAAACTGACTCGTGTCATAGATTCTATGCATATTTCAACGGGAAAAGGGTCTGATTTACCCTTTTACTTTGATAAATAGTTTTATTTTACCTCCATTATACTATTGGTCCATTTAAAGCCTTACCGTTAGCAAAGTAGAAACAATTGCCCCTATTTTTAGCGGAAGTCCACCTTGGCAAGGGCCCAGTTATTAAAATCCAATGTGGCCTGACATTTTGGGTGAGGTGGACACCATGTGGCATGCCACCTCACCAAATTTTACTTTTTCCTTATTCTCTCTTTTGCTCTTTCTTATTCAGAGTATTTTCCTTTCATTATTGATAATTTTTACCCATTAATACCTAATTAATGTAAAAGCCATCAATAACCATAATCTTAATCAACACTAGAACCAACCCACCTCATCCCTCTATCTAGCCAGAAACAAATCATATTTTCTTAATTTCTTTTCCATATAACCAAGAAACCATTGGAGAAGGCAACCAAAGAGAAAATCTTTAGTTTAAACTTTGATGTCAAAAGTACCATTGAGTTTGGTGGTTCTTGAAACTGAATTTTGGGGCTCGCATTTAATGGAAACTGCTGCAAAATTAAGCTTTTGGTAAGAGATTGAACTAATAATACATTTTGCTAGATACTTCAGTTCGGTGTTAATGAATGTTGTTGGATAATTCAGATCTAGTGGTTCTTTTTTTTTATTTGGAAGCCTTCTTTCTTATGAAGATGAAAAGAACTCTGCTCAAAAGTTGAAATCTGGCCGGAAGAAATGGTGGCTGGCGAACCTAAGCTTTCCAAACAACCAAAAGGTTTCCTCAACTTTTAACCTACTCCATTTTCCTTTCTTTTCCTTCATTCCGTTTAGTATCAAATTCACCAACAAATCTCTCTCTCTCTATGTAAGAAAGAAACAAAACAAGAAAGAGAAGAAGCAAAGCAAAGATGGCGTGGAAGGGAAGATAGCAGCGGCCTGAAAATTAGAAAAGAAAGAAGAGGAAGGATGAGAAAAAGAAGAAAAATCTGGAATGAAAAAAGAATATTCTGAAATGATAACTAATATAATTAATTATATATCATCCAATCAATAGATTACACATGTAGAGTTTGAAACAAGAATTGCCACAGTGGACTTCCGTTAAAAATAGGGGCAATTGTTTCTACTTTGCTAATGGTAAGGCTTTAAATTGACCAATAATATAATGGAGGTTAAAAGTATACTATTTATCAAACTAGAAGGGTAAATCAGACCCTTTTCCCTATTTCAAAAGTAGGTGAAGTCCTAGCAGCAATCACTGTAAATGCAACTTTATGAACGTCATTGTAGGATGAAATGTTGAAAATCTGTTGCTTGGATACTTGAATTCACCTTTTACGAAACATTTCACAGAGTGATCTTCAAGTTAATTTGACGTGAATCCATTCATTTCTTGCTTTAGTTAACTTGCAGATATTTTGGTCAATGATTTTTAAGAAAAAGTTCACCCTTCGTGGCTACTAAGGATAAGCCAAAAAATGAGTTGAAGGTCATCACTTCTTAAATGCAATATCTTAATGGTGCCTTTTTTTCTTATGAGGACCTCTTTTTTCCTTCTTATTTCGCAGTGAAATACCATAAAAGAGTCATGATTGTTTTTCATCTAATCATGACTGTTTGTCACCGAGTTTTGAACCTTACGCCATTGGCCTCGGAGATTTCCTTGTTACCAAAAATAATTTAACAAGCATCCAGGAGATAAATTAGCAAATGAAGCATATTGAAGATACTGCCTTCTGATTTGATCTTTAGCAGTTGGTATGTTAATTTTTTTGAGTTTCAAATTCGCAGCTTCTTTAGAATTGGGATTGTTATTCTTGCATTGCACGATGGAAGTGACGTCTTTCTTGAAGCCGCTAAAGTGTTTAAGTACTCAGAGAAGGAGCTTGGAGCTAGCTTGTTCTTTGGTCTTTTTGCCATCTCTTGGTTTGTACTTAGGCTGGTTTTCTTTCCATTTTGGGTCATACAATCCTCAAGGTTTGGCCTTTACCAGATTTTGAACTCATATAATTTATCTCCCTTCCTTTTCTGGGTTTTCCTAATGGCTTTGATGTATTTCATTACCCAGCTACTATTTATGTGAGGTCTTGAGGCTGTCTGAGGTCTATGATACAATGGTATACTATGTCTTCAACACAATGCTCTTGACTCTACTTGTGTTCCACTTGTATTGGTGGATTCTAATATGTTCAATGATCATGAGGCAGTTGAAAAATAGAGGAACAGTTGGGGAAGATATTAGATCTGGTGAGCATCTTTGTAGTGAAGTTGAGGAAAACTGCAGCTATCTTATGTTATTGAACTGGTGCTGAAACTGTTGTACGTTTGTGATTAACCTTTGTTTTTTCTTTTCTCCTATTCAAAAGAAAAATTGTGGAGAGCAATATAGAAAAAAACATGAAGATTGACAATCCAAATGTCTTGCGCCCTGCTGACATTTTCTCAAATAGCTGAAACTGAATCAGAATTTAGACGTTATTGGATGAATGAGATATTATAGCAATTAACGTACTGACTCGTTTCTATTTTAATATTCGGAAATTGGATGCTCATGTCCTATACAGCTGACTGTTAAGATGAATCCAGTTTTTGGCAGTTCTTTTATTGAATGGTGTATTGCTATCTAGCATTGGAACATGAACTATTGTTTGCAAAAGATTTTAAATAGGCCTTATGCCTCTTTTCTCTAAATTAGTAGTCTGCTTCCTGCTCTACTTCTTTGGTAGTTGCAAAACCAACCCTCGAGATGAATTTTGAACTGCCTCCGGCCCAGGAAAAATTTAAAATTGTATTCTCTCTCTTTTTAGTTCCTTCTTTTTTATTTTTTATTTTTTTGGTGCAATTGAAGGGGATACGGAAACTGATTATATGCTCTGACCTGGTTTTGTCATATTCTCCATTGCAATTGAGGAAATCAAGATACTTTTAAACTGCTGGTGATGTGTTTCTTTTTGAATGCAGATTCAGAAGATGATGACTAGATTATGCTCAAATCTTCTGCAGAAGCGTGTTATCTTGGGAAGATTGCATATGCCTTGTAGGTTTGTCACGGCGTCTGGTTCCTTCTCCAATTAGGTATAGGTTGTCATCATCTAAGTTTTTGTTCTCTTTTTCTTTTGATTGTAGGAGAAGGTAAAAGAGGCGTCTATTATTTTAATTATATTACAATTTAGGTGTACAAACTAACAGGCATCTCCTTGTATAATGTTCTCTCTAACCAGATAATGAAAACAATTTAAGCATACCATCTTTGCTTATGTCTCTTAGCTTGATTTAAAGAGGTTAGGCTCATTATGAAGAAAGAAAAAAGAAAAATGGAGGTTAAGCACATGTCTCACTGCTTCAATTTTAGTAACTTTTTGGTTCTATTTACTTTCATACTGGTAGGGGATAAGAGCCTCCGCCTCCACATGTTTAGGTAGATTTAGAAAAGGAATTTTTTTTTATTTGGGACTGCATCTTTCTTTGATGCTGGAAACCATTGGTTGCTTGCCTGGGGATTATGTGATCAGCTAACTTTTGCCCCTGATTGCTTATTAGCTTGAATTGTTACTTTGCTGGTAACGAACAATTGGAAATCCTACTTTGGTTGTGCTATGCCAAAAGAAAAAATGATGAACACTTCAACACTAATATATTCAGGTCCATTAGGTATGAACGTCTGAAATATCTTGAAAAAGTACAGGAATAGCAGTCTGAAGGGAAATAAATGATCTTATTATGATATTTTAGGTGCCTTATAGCAGTCAAGCGTCGTGATTGGCTTGTGAAGTTGCAACTTTCTTTCCTATGTCGGTGACTTCTATTGCACATAGAAGGGGTGTTTGCTTAACGTTAATCCAAGGGATTGAATCTACGTTGTAATTTGTGGTAACGGGACTGCATAAAAAAATAACTGGTATATAGCAGCAGCGCAGAGGAGGTTATATATATATATATATATATATATATATATATATATATATATATTAAAAAGGAAGGATTGAACCCAGGATATGCAAAACTTATTTGCACTTGGTCTTTACTCCAAATGAATAAATATGAAACAAGTGTCTTTCACATAATCTTTATCACTAAACCATGATTATTTGATAGGTATTTTTTACTTTAATTATTAAACTTGTAAAGTAAAATTGTTAAGTTTAGCGTAAAATACTGGATTCGAGTAAGTAAACAAAAAAGAGAGGAAGATATCAAGTGATAAAATAAGAAGAAAAATCCGAGCTCTAAAAAAGGAGTATCAAAGAGATCCGGAGTCTCGACTCACCACAGTCAAATAACATTAAATGTCATTCCATGGTTATTCTTGCAAGTGGCACTTCATCTTAATAAAAATATATATTTTAAATGGGTAGAAACAAGAAGTTCGAAGTTCGTTAACTTTGAAGGGCCAAATATGAGCGATTCACTCATGATAAGGGCATATTTGGGACAAAATCAAATGGAGGGAAACTTTATTATATTTTCATAGTTGAGGTACAAATCTGTATCAATCCACTAATTTGATATCAAATTCAATAGGGGTATTATTATTTTTAGCCCGCACCAGAAACTATTTATATTTGGTAACCGAAAAAGTGTATAAAATTTATATATTTTTATATATAACATAAAGAAAGTATATATATACAAATTCTTTTTTTTTTTGGTTATCATTTTGAGAGCGGCTATACAATGTCATTTTTCCTTTAAAATACGGACAAATTTGCTCTCATAGTTTAGGGACATTTTAGGCCCTTTTAATCTTTTTAAATCTTGGCTCATCTGACCCTTTCATATAAATAATAAAAATACAATTTAAATAATATTTCTTTCCCACATGCCATATACGTGACAATAATTACAACCCGAGATTACTGTTTTTCTATGACTAGAAATAATCACGTGAGTTAATTCCGGACTACACAAAAAGAATGAAGTATTGAGCTATCAAAATCATGAAGTGTAGTTTCACCATACTAAGTGTTAGCCCCTTGACAAAGTTCCTCGGCAGGTGTGGGTTGTGACAAGGATTTTCATGATGGCCTTGGCACACAACCTGAAAAATGGGGCAACATCATGACGGGTAGCTCGGCATGACGGACTATGCGGGGTTGACAAACGCACCTTGAGTGGAGGCAAGGCGCATTTCACTTGGACGTGCGGGTTAGCTTGACAATGGCAAAGCAAAGCCATGTCAAAGCAGGGGCAAAGAAATGGTAAGACAAAGCAAGACAATGCAGGACAATCAATGACATTAATGTGGGCAGATTTGATCAAGTTGAGGGCGACTTGACATAGGCGGGCAGCTGTGGCAATGGACGTGTGCGACTAAGTCAAAATGCGGCAAGCTATGGTCATGGCATTGGGGCGGAGCAGTGTCAAAGGGAAAGGTTGGGCGCAATGCCAGCCTTGGGCGTGCAGAAAGCTGGCCAAAACAAGCATGCAATGCACATGACAGGGCGGTTGAGCCGTTACAACTGCCCCATTCAAGCATGACTGATTATGGGGCTAAGTGGAAGCACATTTTTAGATCATGGCTGATTGTATGGCTTAGTTATACACGTTATAGCATGTTTCCTATGTTTGCTCATCAGTTGGGGCTTGTCAACTGATTGTCTAAATTGCTGCCAAGTGTAATTGGGCAGCCTGCACTATAAATATGTGCATAAGGCTGTCCTAAAAGGCAGAAAAACTTAGTCTTGTGGCAATTGTTAGCCAATTTCGTCTAAGTGCATTCCTAAGGGTAGGAAATAATTTTTGGGGCAGGGAACTAGGGTGTTCTTTGTTCTTGGCAATAGGGTTGGTTTATTGTGTTCTTCTATTCACATATTAATACGAGTTGGGAAGAAATTCCTATAAATTGTGTGTGCCTTTACTTACTTTATTTGCTGCTTAAATCATTTTAAGTCCAAACGTCCCTAAAATAAATCTAAGTGTTGGAAAGGTTGAAGTCAAGGCTAGGCTTGACTGCCGCACAGTGGTGAACCTCGGGCAGAATTCGAGTGACATAAATCACCCCTGTGTCACTAAGCTAGAAGAGTAAAAAGTCATCCTAGTTTATTTGCTTGCTATGTGCCGCACCTCATCATAAAACATGTAAAGTAGAGGTGGCCCATAAAAGGCCGAGCAGTTCTCTCCAAGATGTGGGACAGGCCTCTAAAATAAAAATGGGGGAAAAGACAAGAGTACCTGTTGTATATGGTCAAAATCTGGCCTACCCGATTTTGCTATTTGATCGAAACAAAGGAGCTGCATCGAGGGTAACCTCGTAATGAATCAGACCCGAGCTCGAAGACGAGGCATCGAATCCAAAGATCCGAGTGTCCGTCGAGAGCGACGCCAGCAGCAATCGAGACTTAGTATGACCGGCTTCGAGTGAAATGCAATAACGGAAATGCAAGATATCCGTAACCAGTCGGAGATCACGGCGGAAATCTCGGAATAGATCAAATGAAGGGCGGTTGTTTGTATCAATCATGGGATTTACTTTCGTAATTAGAATTATACCACTATTAGGATTCCTCTAGTATATAAAGAGGGATCCCCATCATTTATAAACACCTGACATTCACGAATATCAAAGCAATATAATATTTCTTTCTTCTGCCCATCAACTTACTGCTCTTTAACTATTCTTACTCTATCAAGCTTGAGGGTTCATCAGCTCGAGGACATTGATCAAACATTTGTTGTCTTGCATTATTGTCAATTTGCATCATCTATCTTTGCTTTTATCAATTGGTATTAGGTGAAATCACATATCCTTAAAAACTACATTACAAGTTTAATTATTACTCAATTTTTAGGGTAAACAGTTTGGTGCTCACCGTGGGGCTAAGGAAAATAGTGATTTCTTAATATTTTAACCTTCATAACACACACTACTTTTACGCTTGTTCTTGTGAGTATTTTTTATTTCAGGAATCAACATGTCAAACTCTCAAGCAGTACCCACTCACACTGACATCGGCCTTGGTATTCATGGAGAAAACGAGTACGTAGTCGCCTCGGGAAATGGAGTACCTCCAATCAATCCCGACGCACCGCAGGACGTGGATCCGATTAATGTCAATTCTCATGTCGCCATTCGTGGAGATTTAGGCGCCGACCCTAAAAATAGCGTCAGTAGAGACTCCCGAGCAGCCGTTCGGAACACACAAAATGGTGAAGAAGGCGGAATTAGCCTTCGAATGATATTTGACATGCTACAAACTCAGCAGGCCACGATAGCGTAACTCCAAAATTAGAATCAAGCCCCAAGCAGAATCGAACTCGATACATCACAGGAAGTTGCTCAGGGTCGAACCCATGTAGGAAACATTCAACGATAATGGATCGGGAACTGATCCCGCCATCATGAAAATGCTCGAGGAGCTCACTAAACGGATAGAATCAGGTGAAAAGAAAATCGAGGCTAATGACAAAAAGGTAGAAACATACAACTCACGAGTTGACCAAATACCGGGGGCACCCCCGATCCCAAAGGGTTTGGATTCGAGGAAGTTCGTGCAGAAGCCTTTTCCTCAAAGTGCGGCTCCGAAGCCCATTCCTAAGAAGTTCCGTATGCCAGACATCCCCAAGTACAACAGGACCACCGATCCTAGTGAACACATCACTTCGTACATATGTGGAATAAAGGGAAATGACTTGGAAGATGATGAGATTGAATCCGTTTTGTTGAAAAAATTTGGAGAAACTTTATCAAAGGGGGAAATGCTATGGTACCACAATTTGCCGCCCAATTCCATCGATTCTTTCGCCATGCTCGCTGAATCGTTCGTAAAGGCGCATGCCGAAGCAATAAAGTTCACGACCAGGAAGTCGGACCTCTTCAGAGTGAGACAGAAGGACAATGAAATGCTAAGGGAGTTCATATCTCGATATTAGTTGGAACGCATAGATCTACCCTCGGTTAATTGGGCTTGTTCAAGCCTTTAACCAGGCTTTGAACGAGAGTTCGGTAGCATCACGTCAACTAAAGCAGAATTTGATTGAATATCCAGCGGTTACCTGGGCCGATGTGCATAATCGGTACCAATCGAAGATCAGAGTCGAGGATGACCAGTTGGGAGCTCCATCCGGTTCCGTTTACTCTAACAGGTCCGAAGGCAGGATTCATAGGGATATCGACCAAGAGCCCGGATCGAACAGAGATCGATACCAACCATATAGCACAAATCGAAGGAACAATGGACCGGGACGTAATACCGTTTGAAATGATCGAGGTCAAAATTTTCGAGGGATCATGAGTAAGAATGGCTTCGATAAATAGGTC